AAATTGGCTATAAATAGAACGTTACAAATATTGTACATAAAATTGGTGTGGTTGTTGTTGAAAGTCAGTCACAGAATACTTAATGTGATATTTATTGTGCTAAATTGTTGCTTCATTCTTAAGGATTAACGGTTAGTGTCATTATTGTGTTTCTATTAGTTAAATATCAAATTAACACCTGAATGGCTTTAAATTACATTTTTAGAAAGTAAGCTTTCGTTATCCCGCTATAAACATTTAACAATTAACTTTTAAAGAATGCAATTAAAGAGGGCTTCTGCAGCTAATCCAAGTCGAGTAACAAAAAACTGGCTATACCTCAGTTTCACAGATATTGAGCTAAATATTAGTTTGGCAGTAGCTGAGTGTTCACCAACACATATTTCAAGTTCTAACAGATTATATAAGATTGTTGTTTAAAACTTTTGCATTAACAGTTGGGGTCCACCCTGTCTGTCTGACTCAACTTCTGTCTTTTCTCACTTTAGGATGGTCTTTGTCAAAACTCTGCACTGCAGCAGGCTATAGGCCAGGGGTGATTTCAGCCTCTTTTTGGGGGTGCGCAAGCACCCATAAATTTTAACTGATCACGCCTGAAAAATAAATAAACCATCATTAGGATTTTGTAAGGAAACAGTTCAATAACCAGAAATTCACCAAAATATTTAATAAATTTGAAATAAATATGGACTAAATTATGACACTCTCTTAAATGGGTCGGTAAAATATATGATTTTTTTGAACGAGTCGGATCCTCAATGCCGCCTGTCAATCAGTCCAGTAGGCTCGTCAGCAACTGACCAATTGGTAATCTCAATTTGTCCTGAAGTGAAACGCCCCTTACCTGCAGGAGCTCCACCCCCTTTTCCTTTAACAACATTACTAACACGTTGCGGTCAGAGGGATTTTGTGAAAATTAATCAGAAAAAATGGTTAAACGTTGTCACGTAATTCAGACAGCATTACCCTGAGCGTTTAGTGGATGGAATATAGATTATTACATTTCCAAAGACTAAAAGGAGTCTGAAAAAATGTAAAATATGGATAGAGGCCACCGGGCAACCTCATGGTCAGCTGAATACAACAGGGATGTACTGAAAACACCACATGTTCATCTGAATGCAGGCAACTGCAAGTAAATCCTCCATTTTTGTTATAATTACATTGTATGCAATGGTTAAATTAAAGATTAATGTTTAAAGCTAGTTGTGCTTTGTTTTGTGTGTTTAAAATGTGGATATAGCTATGTTGTAATTTCTGGTTGCATAAGTTTAGTGTTTGTTTTGATCAGTTAACATTAATTTTTACAAAGTGTTTATTAGGTTGTGTAATGTAAAGAGGAGCGCTACTTCTGTAGCATTTTAGCTAGTGCATCTGTATTGTGCGCCGCTAGCTTAGCGCTACTTCTTGTTGTGTCGAGCTCTCTAAAATAGTTACTGAATCAAGTGTTTACTTATGCAGGTAAACGTAGATGTTTAACAACCAGTTAAAATACACCAGAATGCCGGAAATGACATCTACCCTATTCAAAATTTTCTGGGGTAGGACCCCCAGGCCCCCACCAGTGTGCCCCCCCCCACACACACACACACACACCACCACCACCAACAACAACAACAACAACAACAACAACAACAACAACAACACCTTTACAAATGTTTCTGACACCAGTGGCCACTGCATTGTTCAAGCCAAGAGTCATTGTCATCACTGGGGGCTGAGCACCCCTAAAGGTCAGATTCTAGAATCGCCCCTGCTATATGCATTGTTTTAATGAGTGCTGGATTTTAAATTGCATTATGGATCATCGTAATGTTAACCAGTTATTATAGGAAGTATTTATTTGCTCAGAAACCAAAAAACAATCCAAACAATATCCTATTGGGTGCTAGTGTATAGATCAAACATACACTCATACAACTACATTAACACAAAGTCTCGTACTTTGTCATACTCTGAAAATCTAAAGTTTTCATGCAGTCATGGAAGAGTCCTCATTTAAAAAAGCTGCATCTGTCATTTATTGTCTTTCTTTCATTGTTCTGGTTTTCACTCATTCTACTTTCTGCTTCTCTTTCAGATATTTACAACTCTTCCATTTATTGATTCTTTTCTCTTATTTTTTCTTTTGTCTGTTATTTTTCATCTCTTCAGCCCTTTGAGTACGATTTTTTCAAAAGTAGAACAATAAAAGAAACTAAAAAAAAAAAAACCTCACAGCTACACTTCTAAGTTTTTTCCCCTCTTTTGTTTCCCTCACAGTCGTCTGTCTTCCCAAACAATATTACAAAAGCAATTCCACACCAGTCAATAGGCTCCAGGATTGGTTCTCATCTACCTTGTCCCATAGGGGCTGCCATATCATCAATACAGATTTATACTATAGCCTGGTAGCTAATATACACAAATGCCAATACGCTGGCTGACTCTAGCTGGTAAAAATACATGAAGCAATCTGAGCCAATTTTATGAACAATACTAAAAGACTGACAGTGGAAGGAAAACAAGACTGAGAGACAGTTATGGGGAACTGGGGAGAAAAAAATTAACCCACTAAAGTTTCAAATGTACAGAACCAGAAGGCAAAAACTCAATTGTTTGTTTAAGAAACAGCATCACAAGGAATCTAGTACGCAGGGTTTCATTTGTAAACACATTGATGCCGAAACGCAAATAGCGAGCAGGCTGTTGGGGGTGGGGGGTCTGGGGGTCCTCCCACAGAAAATTTTGAATAAAGTGGAAGTGATTTCCTGCAATTTGGTGTATTTGAACAGGTTGTTAAACATTTATGTTCACCAACATTTGTAAACACTCTGCTTCTGTCAAGCATCATACCTCCCTCCCCCTTACTTGACTGTTCAGAGCCTGACACTGTCCCTGCACGTTGTTGTATGACTCCACATGTGAAACCTCCAGGCGCCTCTGCCATCTGGGCTCCTGCTTGCGTATGACTGCGTATGATTGTTAGCTTGGCCCTCACCCCTACCACTCTTTTTTTTACGGGGGGAGATTTTTTTTTAAGGGTATATGCGTAAATGCTACTTGAAGGGGCAGCTCGTATGCGCGTAAGTGGCTGTTGTGTTTAAAACTAGTGTTTATGTAATTATTTTCAGTTTACATATCCAATATAAGTTTTATTCATTCACATCAGTCATATTTGTCCATAACTTTATTATTAGTAAGCCTGGGAGTTACCGGATCCAAGAAAACAGTTACCAGAACGCACCCACCAGAAAGCAGTACTCCATCAAAATAAGAGCATCTGGCTCAAATTAAGCACTGCTAGTATGTTTGAAATTTTTAAACAAACATGACTTGTAAGAGTACCTTTCCATTTTATATAGAAAACCTTGTGTGATTATTTTTATTCCTATTGGTACTACTCAGAATAGTTAAAAAAAAAATAGCTTAATTCAAATGAAAGGCAAAAATTCCAGCTAAAAGGCCTAAATACAGAGGCTTTGTCTGTAGGTTGTGATAACGTAGATATTAAAAACACATCAAAGTGGAAAAAAAGTAACAACATTATAAACATTACATCAATATACAAAATAAAATATTAGAAACTGGACTGAAACCCTGAAGTTAAAACCACAAAACGATAAGCGCCCCCTAGTGGCTGACTGCAGTACATTATTCAGGCCTTACAATTTTACGTACAGGAATGGTACACTTTTTTGAATAAAAATTAAAAGCTACGTCAGATATCTTTATTTTCAACTGCTGATTTTTGTTGAGTCACTTACCTCTTACCAATATACTTTCTTTATTAAATGCACATATTTTGAATTTGTTATTTGAAGCTTTAAAATGTATCATGTTACACTATAACTGACAAGGTATCAGTCAATTTTGAACGGTGTGTAAGTTACAATTTTTCACTACAGTATTGAGGGTACAGCCCCACATCACTGGTTTTCAGAACATGGCAGGACCAGTAAACAAAACATTTTGACTTCAAATTTGAACAATGGTGGTTAAAGGAGTTGCTTCATCAGTCTTTATTTATGTTGATAGAACAAAGCTTGAAGTTCTCTTAAAATAATTGAAGTTTGGTATTTCTTTGACAATATTTACCATCTTCTATTTAAAATGTGACTTTTCAGCAAGAGATTCATGCAACAGAGTCAGGACAAAGGTAGCCAGGTACAGACTAAAAGAGGATAGAAAGCCATATCTATAAAAGACTGTCCAGGAAAAGGTCAGTACACTTGCCATCACACACGAAACAGATCAAAAGGAAGATGGATGTTGGTGAGTTGGTAAGAGTTGGTCAGTCTTTTTAATAACGCTTTCTGTGTATGTGGTCCATATAATGTCATCAGACATGTGAAGACACGTGTGTCCAGCTGTTTTAATTTGCTCCACAGCTTTGCTTCAGTGATGGAGAGGGGGGGATGTAAGCTCTCCTACTGAAATTTGCCACTATTTCTTTAGTTATAAATATGATTATTATTATTATTATTATTATTATTAACCTTTATTTAGTCTTTGCCAACTTAATACTCAGAAAGCTCCTCTACCTCCTTCCTATACTGTACTTTGACGTATTGTTGGAATCCAATCTAATAACAGCATAGGCGTAGCCAGGATTTTATGAGGGGCGGTTCGTTTGAAGAAAAAGTGGACCTGTAGGACTACTCTGATTGGTTCATTGGCGGTGGTACACATAACTTCAAATGTGTAAACAAGCTAATTAGCTAGCTAGTTAAAACACTGCTGTGTGAGGTAAATCTGTGTTACCAAATAGGCGGTTGTGAGTGGAGAAAGAGCAACACACTGAGAGGGGAATAGCGTGTGTGTCCAGTCTTCTATTCAGAACTCATCCCAGACACGAACGAACACTTCGGTACTCCCGAGTCCCGCCCAAACATACACAAAAAAAAAAAAAAAACACCGAAGAAGAATGAAAGACGTCATCCTCTTAAAGGCACAGTACCACTCCTTAACTCTAACAACATAAATGCAAACTAAGCCCGCAAATAATAACATTACTTCAATTGCAAAAATAACTCATCTTTTTACTTTGCTTTGTTAGACATTGTTTTTTATGAATGAAATTAATGAATTGAAAAATACAATACAATCCACATCTACACATAAAAAAATGACACTATAGAGTAAGATTAAAATTTCTCAAGACAAATGTAGTTTTGCAAAACCTTTTTTTTTTACAATGCATAAGACAGTTTTGTCCAACATCTTATATCTCTGGATAGACAAGTGAGTCCAGCTCCATCCTCCTCGAGTGTTTGTTTGCAAACACATCAACAACTCTGTCAAGGTCAATGTGTTTGCTGTAGTGAATGTGAAGTAGTGCCAGTGATGAGAGACGCTCCTTCCCCATTGATGCCCGCATGTAGCTGTTCAGTCGACGAAGGGCACTGGCACTGCGCTCACACTCGCAGGAGGTGACAGGGAGTGTGCAGGCCAGTTGAAGTAGGACATGCAGGTTGGGGTACAGGTCTCGGTCACACTCTTTAATGGAACCTGCAGGGGTGTTCGGCCTCTGTGACCCAGGCACTCTGCCATACCTAGCAGAACAATTTAAACAAAAATGTTCTGTATAGCAATGTTGTAACATTCAATTTCTAAAATGGGCTTCTCAGGTGCTTAACTTCAAAATAACTTACTTCAACTTTTCTGTCCTGTTAAGCACCTTGATCAATGCAAGGCATTGTAGGAAGGTGCTATACAAATAAAGTTTATTATTATTATTATTAATTCTAAGACATATTATTGACAAATCTATTTTACAAGAAGATCTGTTTTATTTATCTTTTTTTACCTGGAACTCTCGGTTTCTTTGAAACAAAGTTGAACATTGAAGCACAACCTTCAGCTGCTCTTTTCCTCTCTCTGTCCTTCTGCTTGCACCTACCCATCAAGGTTGGTATCCAGCACAGAAACCTGAAAAACAGTTTTTCTGAATGTTTGTTCTTTTGAAAAATTATCCAAACATTTATTTTTCACCATATTCAACACTGCTAAGTTATTGTATACATGTATCCTGTCCAAACTAAGCCTGAGGCCTGTAGCTTTTGTTTAGAAAAAACATGGACGCTCCGTTTCAGGCTTCCTGTGATTAACTGTGTCCTATCACTGTAAACTTAGCTTTAGGGATAGAATGGGGGTGACACTGGTACCAATTTCAGATAAATTACTGTTCCCAACATGGCGGAAATAGACAAAAACAAGGAAAAAAACATGGCGAAAATCGTCGTCACAAACTTAGCTTAGCTATAGCATGTTTTAGCATTATCCCATATCTTATAAAAACGTGACCCACTTCTAATCTCTCTAACATCAAACGGTACTACTTTAAATACACAAATGAACAGTTGAATCAAAAACCACAATGTAATTTTACCGTTTGAATCCACCGTGTTGCCTTCCAAGCCAGGACAGAGTGAACGTCGTCTTCACCTCGCAGTTCTATATCTCGCGGGAGTTGTAGGTGGGACTTCATTGGCAAAGTGGGCGGTTCGTTCGAACCCCCCGAACCCCCCCTGGCTACGCGCATGAACAGCAGTGTCATCTGTTAACTTCCCGCTATGATTGTCTGGATACCTTGCAGAGAAATCACATGTGAGTAGAGCATAAAGTAGGGGGCTTAGGACACATCCTTGTTGGGAACCAGTGTTGAAAATAATACACCATGGATCCTCAGACTGTAGTCTGCCTGTGAAAAGTTTAAACCAAATTGTACATAGATGGTTTTACTTTGTAGTCCTAGAAACAACCATTTATTGACCAGTATCTGCAGCATGATGGTTAGCACAGATCTGAAATTTAGAAAGCGCAATCTGACATGTAAGTATTGGGTCTCCAGGTGTTAGAGCAGGGTGGATGACAGCTAGCACTGCATCAGACACAGCCACTGAACAATAGTCATAAATTGACAAAAATGGATTTATTGTCCAAATTATACATTTACATACATACATACATACATACATACATACATACATACATACATACATACATACATACATACATACATATGCAACGAACATATAAACTATAAAAATTACTTGTAAAATGTTTTTTTCTCATCAAAAATGTAGTTTGCATTTGGATGAGTGGTGCAAATGCAGCAAGATGAGTTTGTTTTGCAAATCTTAAAGTATTTGTTAAAGTGGGAATAATAAAATGGGAGCGGGTTGATATAAACTACTAGTTACCTAATGATTCACTCCGCTTGTTGTTTTTACAACCTTATCTTTGATGTTTGTCCTTTAGGAAATTGCTTCTGATTAAAACATTTATTGTGAAATTAGTCCTGATTCGTTTGTTACTTTGCCTTTAATTGTTTAATTGTTCGGTGTGTTCAGTTTAGTGTGGTTCCATTGGCACTTTAAACAACCAGTGAACATTTTTTTACACGTAGCCAACTTACGCTTGTTCCATTAACATAAACCTCCTAGTAGCATTTAAGCCATTGAAAAGTAGTTACTTTTATATTCCTATTATCAAGTTCACATTTTATGCATTTTAAGCATCATTCTGTTTTTCCCCTTCTTATTTTCTTTAGCTTTGATGATTACACTGGTGGGCTGGCTGTTATTCAGCTGCCCACTCCTGAGTGTCCATTATCTGGAAGAAGAAAAGACACTGAAGATGTTTCCAGCTGTGATGATAGCTTCAATTTGGTTTACCCTGTGCTAAAAAAAACAAACAGACAAGCGAATACATGAGACAGGAAATCTTTGGTGGGACCAGATGCTAGTAAAACGTGCTGACAGAATGTATGCGTTTTAAGTCCAAAAGTGTGTTTTAGGGATGGGGTATGGGGCAGAGTAAGGGCTGTGTGAAGCTTGGAGCCTGGAAGAAATAAGGTGAAGTGAACAGGAGCCCCTGTGCAGATGTATCGCTAACAACAGCAGGATCACAGCAGGAAAACATAACTGGGTTCTGAAGCTGAAGAACAGAACAGATGGCGAGAATGATTACACATGCATGTCATATATGCAGACACACACAAACACAAAAAACAGTAGTCACTGATAGACCCGGAGAGGCACACACACATTAAATTATGCATGCACTCTCATACAGATGGGCCCATTTGATCCCAAACAAAATCCAGTCACACACACAGACCCCCTTCTTACTCCCTCTTTTGCCGTCTCTTTAGTGCTTTTAACTTGCACTTGTTATCAACTTCAGAGTGCATGTCAACATTCTTGTGTGTGTGGGTGCACGTGTGTGTTTACTACCTGTGCACAGCTGTCTTTGTGCAGGTTAACAAGGACTCTTCTACAAAAAAAACACACATCCAAAAGCTTTGCCCCACGAGATTACTCCAGCTCAGTGTTTTACAGCATGTGATGACTGTAATCTGTCAGGTTAAATTGTGTTTCTGTAGAGCTGTTATGGCACCTTTGTCCCATATTTATGCTGAATTACTGCTCTGACAAAAAGTATTTAGCAAAATATTATGTTTGCATTTTTGCTGTCTATATGCCTATGGTGGTCTCTGCTGTGTCTTTCACTGCAGCAGTTTCTTGACTTTTCAGCTTTAGACCCTCAAAATACCAGTGATACCAGTAGGGACTTGCATCAACTAATAAAACAATTAAACAAGAGAATACAGTGAAAACATAAACATCATTTTTAATATTTTACTATTGATACCTGTACTATTTTTCTCATGCAACACATGACAAAAACATTATTTACCCCCCACCTTTGAGAACAAACGCTTTAAAGAAACCAATAAAGTTCACAGTGCCTCTTCAGGTTAAAAAAAAAAATCTAAATTTCGGTCTGTATCTTAAAATAACACAACATTCATCTTTTAATTATTTAATTATATAAGAAAATATTTCCAAACTGCTTGACAGCTTGCAGGCAAGCGCATGCAACCAATGAGGTGCAGCCTAAACTGCTTTCAGTAAATACATGATACAACCTATACTTGATATGTACCTGGTTCTTCAGGTGACTGCAGTATTTGTACACCTTTACAGACTATTGAAACTTTAATTTTAGATGTTTGGTATTCTTATACAATGCATGTTTTGGTTACTGTATGTGTGACATATTCTACCTGCTGATGGTCCTCTAGAAGAACTCACCTGTCAGTGATTCCTGACCATAACAGATAAATCCCAGTGAGCCTTTGCATCATTGTGCCATTGACTGGACAATTCCTGAATCCATAAAGCTTTTAATGTTACTGTTTTTCTCTTTTCTGACACTATTTGTTTCTATCAGGGTGCAAACAGGAACATGTTGCTGCAGAATTGGGCTCACCTTTCACAGTAGATAACCAGAATACTCAATCAACTCTGATCCAATCGAGAATTTTCTCCAGGTTTGTTGCTGAACATGAGCCCAGAGTATATTTTTCTTTCTTTTTTTTTTTTTTTGGACACATTGAATGGCAGAACAAAATGTCATGAAAAATTATGTAGACAATATTTTTTGTCAAAGTGCGAGATATCAGACTAACCGTGTCATCTCTGTAGGCAGGCAGCTGGGATGACTAAAAAAACAAAAAGGTCAGTTTTGAAGCTGCCACAAGAAATTAAATGTGCATACCTCACCTGGGATTGTGCAGAACCATGAAAATGAAGGGTAGCAATTTACTCTTTGTCATTTGCTTTAGTATAAATTTAATTTCATGTTCAAAATATGTATACCAATTATTTATACTGGCTATACAGTAGTCCCTCGCTACTCCGTGGTTCATTTATCGCGGACTCACTCTATTGCGGTTTTTCAAAGTAAGATTGGATATGACACAATTGGCTATTTGATGGATGAGTCGCATGATCGGCATGGATTTTTAATTTAAGATAAATTATTTTAAAGTATTTAGCACTTGTGTGCAGCCCAACCTGCAGGAGAAGCTTCCTCCTGCAGCGTGTCATAGCTCCGCTCTGTAGCGGAGAAGTGGGCGTGGCCAAGAGTGCTGGCAGGTGGCAGAGAGCTGAAATCATGACATGCTGTGCTCTTTTACAGCGTTTAGAGTTTGGAAACATTGTTCAGAATATTGCAAGAGTGTGGGAAGAGTTTAAAACACCTTAATAAATATAAATAATATAATAATAATAATAAAATAAACTACTACTTACTATTTGTACTACTATTCCTACTTAGCGTTTTTTCACTTATCGTAGGTCTTTAGGGTATGAATCCCCCGCGATAAACGAGGGACTGCTTTATAAGTTTTAAATCATTTTGAACATTACTAGTATATTAGCTCTTGTTTACACCATTAGGTCACTTAGTACACACTTTCAGTTTTTTCTTCATATGATACTAAACGTGAACAATTATTTTTTCTTGTTTCTTAAACAACTTCATATTTACATGTAAACTTCATTCACTAATAGTAATTTACAAAAAAACGTTATATTATTTCTTGGGCAGCACGGTGGCTCAACTGGTAACGCAGCTGCCTCTCAGTGAGCAGGTTTCCCTGGTTCAAATCCCGGTCCGGGGACCTTTCTGGGTGGAGTTTGCATGTTCTCTCCGTGCATGCGTGGGTTTTCTCCGGGTACTCCGGTTTCCTCCCACAGACCAAAAACATGCATGTTAGGCTGATTGGTAACTAATTTGTCCCTAGGTGAGAGTGAGAGAGTAAATGGTTGTTTGTCTCTATGCGTCCCTTTGATGGACTGGAGACCTGTCCAGGATGTCCCCTGCCTCTCGCACAGTGATGGCTGGACATGGGCATCAGCAACCCCTTGACCTGAAAAGGAAGAAGCGGATAAAAATAATGGATGGATGGATGGATGGATGGATGGATGGATGGATGGATGGATGGGT